CTCTGATGATGAGCGCTAGTGTCGTGGTAGCAACATGCTATGTGTTTACATCCATCGCTGCCATGTTTGTAATGACTTATCATGAGAACAAACGTATTCACGTGACTTTAATAACATTTATTACTTAATGGAAACACTGCAGTTGTGTAACTGTGTTTTTTCAGCATTAACAGAATATCGATAAAGTTTTGCGCACATTTGTAATGGAAACACAGCTACTGTTGACAGGAACTCCAGACTCCTGCTCCGTAATTTAACAAACTTATAACTGCACCAACTCTACCGACTGACTCAGACTGAACCTTTATTCCTTCTTCAAATGTTAAATATTCATCCACAATAAATCCCAAATATTTATATTTTTGTAATAGACAGAATAGTAGGCTCAAAACAAAATATAAATATATATATATGTAAAAATATTCCACTTTCTGAAATTAATAAATTCAGTTTTATCACAATTTATGTTTAACCTTATTTTGTTCGAGCCGTGTGGTCGGTGGTAAATACACTGAGCTTGTGGACCGTAGATGGCCTGCAGGCCACCAGTTTGTGATCCCAGCTGTAAACAATAAAACCACAGAAATGTTTTAGTGGATTTCATCTCCACACATTATAACTGGTGCCAGCAGCCCCGCCTCCCACACACACAAACTATATTTCCTCACATCATTGTTGTGTTTTCTTGTCTCCAGGCTGGTACAACCGTTTGTACATCAACTTCACTCTGAGGCGCCACATCTTCTTCTTCCTGCTGCAGACCTACTTCCCTGCCACTCTGATGGTCATGCTGTCCTGGGTGTCCTTCTGGATCGACCGCAGGGCCGTCCCTGCCAGAGTCTCGTTAGGTAGGAGGCCGCAACACGGTCGCCTCAGCATCGTTTGGAGGAAAATGTAAARATAAAGGGTGAAAACTAAGTTTATCATCAAGGTGAAGAAAAGACTTCTGCATGAAGATTTAAAGCTGACACTGAAAAGATGTCCTTATTAGTAATTTTATAACAAGATACAGAACATCATAAACATTGGTTTAATCCTCATAAAGTTATGAAACTGTGATAAAAATTAAAAAGAGKACATAGTTTGTTACTTTTTGGTGGAAACAGAAAACATTTTGGCCTAAACTCGTGGGGTGTTATGTTTTCACTTACGTAAACTTACGTGAAAACGTAAATCGATGGTTCTGATGTTCTGTATTTTGTTTGTTACCTCCGCCAAGGGCAAGGTAATGTTTTCGGTCATATTTGTCTGTCTGTCTGTCTGTGGACAACATTACTCAAAAACTTGTGGACAGATTGTCATGACATTTTTACCACACGTGTGTACTGGGCCAAGGAACACACCTTTAAATTCTGGTGATGTTCTGGATCACGATACAGGAATTTTTTTCTTTTAACACTGATATCGGCAAAGCTGTGATGCTTTCACAGGGCGTGGGTTTCAAAGTGTCCAGCAGGTGGCACTGTAGTACTGGTGTGCCCCTTTGTAACTCTACTACAGGATGGGGGAAATTGGTCTTGGTGGAGGTTTGCACTCTCCGAGTGCTTCTAGTTGATTATAATATGGTTTCAGGAAAGGAAATGACTAATAAGGACATCTTACCTAAACCTTTAACTTACTTAAATATAAATTCTCTGAACGCAGMAGAGAGAGTTGATCTTACTGTGAAGAAAATCGCTTTAATATTTCAAGTTATGCAGAATAAGGTTCCAGTGCAGACCATAATGGTTTGTTTTTAAAGGGATCCATGATTAGTTGTAACATTAGACTTTATTTAATAAACATATATTTTAACTGTAAAATAAAGACTGTATAATACTGTAGGATATTTAGTTTTGTTAATTTTTTTAATGTTATTTTAACATGGATGGAGCCATTTTATTTCCACACAAAGCATTCTGGGTAAATGATGACGTGGATAGGTCCTCGGTGCGAG